ATAATAATTACTTGAATGAGCAAAACCTATTGGTTATAAATATATTTTTAAACCAAAAGGGATACAAAAGACAATATTGAAAGATATAAAGCATATTTAGTTGCTAAAGATCTCACTTAAAAGGATAACATTGATTATAAATAGACTTTCTCTTCAGTTTCTTCGAAATACTCTTTTAGAATTATTTTGAACTTATAACTCATTATGATTTGGAACTGCATTAATAGATGTAAAGACTGTATTCCTTAATGAATACATTAATAAAACTATATATATGATACGATATGAAAATTTTCAATCTTCTTATTCAAAACATCTGGTGTGTAAATTAAAAAAATCAATCTATAGTTTAAAGCATGCATTCCATCAATGGTATAATAAAATTGATCAAGTGATTTCTTCATTTAGTTTTTTAAAAAATATTTTTGATCAATATATTTATCATAAATTTAGTAGGAGTAAGTTTATTCTCGTGATGTTATATGTCGATGATATTTTGCTAGCAAGTAGTGATATATGCTTATTGTATGAGGCTAAGAGATTTATTGTATGAGGCTAAGAGATTTATTGTATGAGACTAAGAGATTTCTTTCAAATAAAATTGAAATGAAAGATTTGAGAAATGCATCCTTTGTGTTGTGTATATAAATTTATCAGGATCGCTCCCGTGGTATACTTAGATTATTATAAATATCATATATTGATAAAGTGCTTAGCAGATTTGGCATAAAAAATTGCGTACCAAGGAAATACACCCATTGTAAAAGGGGATATATTTAGTATGCTTCAATACCCAAGAAATAAACTTAAAAAGCAAGAGATAAATAAGATATTTTATGCATCAATAATAGGGAGTCTTATGTATGCTCAAGTTTGTATGCGTCTGAATATTGCGTACATTATTGGAATGCTTGGTAGATATTTAAGTAACCAAGGATTTGATCATTGAAAAATAGTGAAACAAGTTATTAGGTATCTAAAAAAGACAAGATATTTCATGCTCACATATCATAGATATGATCATTTAGAGATTGTGGGGTATTCCGACTCTAATTTTGCTGGTTGCATTGATAGCAGGAGATCCACTTCAAGTTATATTTTGATGTTAGCTAGATGAGTTATTTCTTGGAAAAGTGTCAAGCAATCACTTATAGCTTATTCAATAATGAAAGCAAAATTTATAGTTTGTTATGAGACTTCAAATTAGAGAATATTGTTGCAAAATTTTATCGCAGGGCGACATATTGTTGAGTGCATTAAGAGACCATTAAAGAAAAATTGTGATAATAAAACAGCTGAATTATATTTAAAGAACAATAGGAGCTCGTCAAATTCAAAACACATTGACATTAAATTTCTTGTTGAGAAAGAAAGGGTTCAGAGTTCTCAAATTTCTATTAAATATATTAGTACAAACTTTATGATTATAGACCTACTTATAAAAGGATTACCACATAAATTATTTCATGAGCATATAGCTCGTATGAGTGTAATTTGTTTTGATAATATACTAGCATAGTGGAGTTTGTTTGTATTGTTCAATTATTATGAACTTATTTTCTGTTCAAACTAAAATATTATTATTTTAGTGATTGAAAACTCTAAAATAAAGTTATTTAATTTTAGTTTCACTTTAGTATAAAGTATTGAATTTTAATTATAACTCTTTTGAGTTATAATATTAGACAAGTTGAAAATAATCATGATTATAGATCACATCACAAGAAATATTTATGCTACAAATTCATACTTAATCTATGTCGTTAATTATATTAATATATCGATCATTGATAGGTCTTATTACAAAAAATGTGATAAATGACTCTTTGATCATATATTGATACGATTGATATACTAGATTGTTTATATATGTTATTTCATAAAGATAATAAATATTGAGCTCTTACGATTATTTTATAATTTATAATTATATGCATATATATGTGACACAAGTGGAAGATTGTTTGAAAATTTTTATATGTGAGTCTATATACTTATACCTACAAGTAAAATATTATACATTAGACAATATTTAAAATTGAGCCAATTAAATTCGTGATCTATTTAAGAATTAAATTATTATTTTTGACTTATGTGATATCTTAATTAAATTTATATGAAAATAATTATTTTTATAGACAAGTGTTTATTTATATTTTAATGATGGGCTAAAATAAAAATAAATACACTTGAAGTATACAAGAGTCATGGTCCTCAGTTTAAGCGGTAAAATTCTTATTTCCTTCATTTCTCATCATGAGCAAAAGAAGGGGTCTCTCGTTCTCTTGGAGAACGTCGTTTCAAACGTGGAAGATCGAAAATCTCAATTCTACATCTCAATGGATTCATGTACGTTTCTGATAATTCTTCTCGATGATTTAGCATGTCTTTCAAAGGCGATGAAATTATTTTTCGTCTCTATTGAATCCTAACAAGTAACAAGTAATCCTAATGTAAAGTAAACCAAATATGGGACTTTTGAAAATTTTAGTGTTTGCTTGTAAGCAAAGCAAGTGCGGAGAAGAATTGTTATGTATTTGGAGTACACCATCTAATTCATTTCCAATATACTTGGAATTCACTCGATTTAGTCAAATTTTAAATACGTAGCTTATGCCAAGTGTCGCTGGCCGTTGTCACCTTCCATTTGCCGCCCCTCATTTATGGTCATTAGCGCCATCTCTCCTAAGTTGTGTTTTATTATGAATGAATTTTACTTTAAACCAAATGTGAAAAAATTAAACTCCTACATTTATAGAGCACTTAACCATAAAACTCAAAAATATTTTAGGAGCTATTTCCAACCAATAAGATCAAATTTTAGCGATATTTAATAAATACTGAAAATTGTTTGGCAGCATAAATGTTAAATCTCATTAAATCCTATGAAACTATTTTGACAACATAATCAATGATTTAAGACGTCAAATTCATTAAAATTTTACATTTAATATATATTTTTAATACAAGTTGCTTATTCATTTTAATTTCATAAACAATATAATTAGAAACTATTTTAATTATTAAATAACTTAAATTATAATATAATTATTATTTAGAATATTAATTATATAATATTATATAACTTAACTAATAATAACATAGGGATATTAATTAGTTAAATTATCTTATTACCATTATATTAATAATTTAACTAATTATATAATTACTATTACTATTTGGAAGTTATCTAATTATTATTTAGAATATTAATTATAGAATTAATTATTTAATTATCTAATAAATTATTATATTTTAATTTATATTAATTTAATTATTTAGATTAATTTATAACTAATTACAGATAGTCTAAATAATTTCTACGATTTATTTTTCTATTCTCGGTCGGGTTCCGGAACGAATCGCTGAAGGGCTTCTTCACCGACTTCACGACGTTCCTCCCTGTCGAATCGGAAGTCGCGACAGTTCGCCGTACAGTTCGCCGATAGGAAGTAGCGACGGGAGCTTGCTGGCTGCGAAGGTTACTATCTTTCTCCTTTCGCGATCTTCTTCGACCAAATCCCTTAAATCCGCCGAACTCCAGGATTTTTAGTAAATTCGGGATTTACGGCAAAATGTAGGTAACGGATTTATTCCGCAGTAACATCTACCGGCTGCTCAAATCCCGGTTGGCAAGATTTAGCTTAAATCCTGTTGCCAAACAACCCCTTAAATATACTATGTTTACTTGCATTGATTTCATTGTACTCTGCATTACTTTTTCAATATAACAAAAACTTTTTTATTTTAATGCTTCTTGATGTGATTTTACATATGTTATGCTTTCATTATGATGTTTTATAGCTATTAGATTATACTTTGTTGTGTCTAACACAGTTTAATTATGATCAAACTTTGTAAAACCTTATTCGAGCCATATACTAACCTATGTTGAAATCAGAGCACATGATTCATATAGGATTTGAATAATGCTAGAACACTGATGAAAATTTTCTCTTATATCATCTCAATTTTGATCGAAGCTAGTTCAAACTTCATTTGAATATTGTTCAAACTAATTTGGGTAATGGAGGACTTGAAAAGCAGTCCAAAGTGGGGGTATTTTGGCCTGAAAGAACTTTAAAGCATATTCATAATAAAACAAATAAGGTATATATTTCTCCAATTTTAAGCATTATAGGTTATATAAAGTCAAAATTACCTAAAGAAATTTATAAGATAAAAAATATGTAAATTTTTTTTAGTATTATGCTTATAAACTATCATCAATAATTTGTGTAATATCAGTTAGCAAGTGTCCATTAGGGTTAAGCAAGGCAAGACCTGTAAATGAACTAAGTCACGTAGAGTACTTGAAGTGGTTGGATTTGGTTTACAAGATAGGTGAAACTTTTGTTGTTTTAATTTTCACTGTTTGCAATTTGTACTAACATTTCTTGTTTAGCCTTTTTTTCAACAATTTCATATTTTTATTTCCTAGAAATATGATTTGAATTTTAGGTAGAGGTAGACCTAAAAAAACTTGATTAGAAAGTATTAAAAAAATTATTTTATTAGATTTAAATGAGAAAAAAGGATTCATGTAGCCGACCCCACATAGTGGGATAAAGGCTTGATGTTATTGTTGTTGTAGATTTTAATGAGGATTTGACTCTTAATAGGGCATAATAAAGAAAATGGATTAATGTAGCCAACCCCATGTAGTGGGATAAAGACATGTTGTTGTTGTTGTTCAATTTAATTATTTAATGTTTTTCTTAATATTTGATTAGTCATTTAGTTGTCTATTGCTTTAAAATTTTTTATTTTTGACATTTTTTTGCATCTATATATATTCATACTTGATTACAATAACAACAACACCAAGCCTTTATCCCATTTCATGGGTTCAGCTAATATATTCATACTTTATTGTTGTTCTTAAAAAAGAGAGAATTTTTACTCTTTTCCTGCTGGATTTTTCAGCCACGAGTACCTCTACTTTTACATTACTACTACCGTGTAATAAAATGATTCTTTAATTTATTGCAGGACTGTAAAGCTTTACATTAATTAACACATTGCTAGTTGCAGTTCAATAACTGTATAGTTCTAAACTTTCTCAGCAACAGCACTTGATTATGGAGTTGCCAAAGAATATCAAAAGAAGAGTGGCCTTTGTGTTAATCGATGGAGTAGGCGATGTATCTTTGCCTAGATTTCATTACCAAAGCACCTTAGAAGTTGCCAATACCCCAAATTTGGATGCAATTGCTTCAGCTGGAGTAAATGGGCTTATGGATCCTGTAGAGGCTGGTTTGGCCTGTGGCAGTGATACTGCCCATCTTTCTTTGTTGGGATATGACCCTAGAATTTATTATAGAGGGCGAGGTGCTTTTGAGTCAATGGGTGCTGGATTGGCCATGTCTCCGGGTGACATTGCCTTCAAGGTTAGTAGTGAATTTCTTCTCAGATAATTTCTATTGTTGTCTGTAGCTGTTGTAGCCATTTCAGAATATAATTTTGATTCTGGTTAAATGACCCCTCTCTATATTCTGCCGACAAAAAAGCTTTCTATCTTCTGCATTGATAACTACTGCTTTCTTTCTTGTAGTGTCTGCTGCCAACTGAGACACAAATGGTTAAAGTTGATTGTTATCAATTTCTGTTTCTAGATTAAAACATGAGTCTTAAGAGGTACTGTTTGCTCGGTCATTCAATAAAATTCCTAGACAATGGTTCCAAAATAGGAAATCAAACATTCAAATTTAACCCTAGATTTATGTTTCATTTACTTTGATTTTTTTTTTTCTTCATAAAATTGATACCATTTTATTATGTTGTAGCTCAATTCAACTAATTTTTCTTGTGTTACTCTCACCCTAACTTTGTATGCAACACTCTATGCACATCTATTGAAGTGTAGCTTGGCTCTCCCAGAACAGTAGATCATAGTATTCAACTATCTGTTTTTTATTAGGAATTGAGCAATCTCTCATTAGAAATGGAAAATGACTCTTTGCCTAACATGCTGAAGCATTATGTCCATAAATGGGTAATCCCTATAAAGATTCATCACGCATTACAGTTGACATTGAGAAATTGCATGTGCTTGTTTTTCTATTTATATCCGATTCTACTCGAATTTTGATAATCATTTTAGTTGATTATTAGTAATATCAAAGTATCATTGATGCATGACTAAATATGATTTAAATGAATGCGATAAGAACTTGCATGTTTTGAGTAAGAGCAAATAGTAATTAAGACTGTTAGCCACTAAACGATGATAGAAAAGGAATGAGGGGTAGTTACGCTTACGCCAATCAAATGCTAAGAATTTGAATCACCAAAGTAATTTAGAATTTCAATCCAAATGCAAATTAAGTAGTTATTCAATAAAAATCCCTAAGTTAACATCGAGATTAGCACATAGAAAATCAAGAGCTCAAATCCTACGTTTACTGAGCGAAGGTAGAGAGCTTGGCATGAATCCTTTTGTTTGAATCACCACCTACAAGATCAGAGGATTTAGAAGATAAATGAATAGGGGAAGAATTTCACACTTGTCGAGGACCGGAAGCAATTTGTCACTGAACATTGGCGAGTTGTTCTTCGATTGCTTCGGATAGTGTGAATATTATGCGATCCAAATATTCTTCGATGGAGTCGTCGACTTCCGGGTTGACGTCGAAGAATGTTGACCGGAGAATGTCGATGTGCCCTTGCTCGTTGTAGACGAAGCCGGAGTCAAGGTCGGGATCGGCCATTCATCGATTCCTTGGTTGTAGTATTGTAGATGAAGGTATTGACTTTCCCTTACGGACTTCTCTCGAGAGGGAGGAGATTATCTCAAGAATTCAAGAGGGAAAGAGGGAGAGAGGTGGCCAGCCAAGGGCAAGGGTGTGGGGGAGAATTTGGTTCAGATTTTAGAAGAAAGAAGGTGGAGGAAAATCAAGCAATTGTTTCCCCCAATTAATCCTTTTAATTTGGAAAGGATTTGAGTGAAATTAGGAAAGGGGTGGGGCGGCTAAGAGAGAGGAAGAGAGGGTTTGAATTGCTTCCAAGATGGAAGCTTGCCTTTTGAAAATAATTCCATAGGAATCCAATAAGGGGGCCGGCAGTATAGGGAGAGGTTTAGGGAATTAAACAAGTGTATGAATACTTGCTTAAATAGGATCCACCAATTAAAGGAACTAGATTTAATTCCAATCTAATTTAAATTCAAATTGGACTTGATTTTAGAAACTTTCCTAAAATAGGATTTTATTTTAGGAAATGTTTTAAATTTCAAATTTGAATTCAATGATTGAAATTAAAAATATTTCAAAGCTAAGCAAGAAAGGAAGGTAGTTATGTGAAAATTAGGAAATTGGAGGCAAGTGGGGGAAGGGTGAAACCGGCGGCTAGGCTAGGGTTTGTGGAAGGTGGGTGGGTCGGTTGGTCACCCAATCAAGGGAACCATCTTGGGTGGCCGGCGGCTAGGTGGGGTGCGAAGGAGGGTCTAGGCCGGTGGTGGGGTGGGGATGTGGCCGGCGGTGGAAGCTTGGAGGAGTAAGGAGGGAGGAAGGTTAGAAAGAAAGAACCAATAAAACAAGCCACGAACCTGGACTCTTCCAAGGTTGGTGGGTGATCCGCTTTCCTCTCCAAGGGATTTCTCTCCCAAACACTCTCAAGCTCTCGCAAGAACTCACAATGCAGAAAATTTTATCATTCATTCATTAACTTCAAAAGAGAACATAAGGGCTATAAATAGCCTCATACAATGGATGACATCGCCCTTTGGGCTTACACATAACCACCCTTAAGTAAGGGGTAAATAGGGAAAACGACTAAAGCAAATACAAATACAAATAAATAAAAACAAATACATATGTCGACTTAAAAATATATTGGCGCGATCGTGGCCGTAGATTGGCGGCCACGCCTCTGATAAACTTTCCAAGCTCTGATGTCCCCACCAATCATCCATGATATAAGATTATTTCACTTTCTTTATACTGAGTATAAGTCTTGTTCTCTATAATACCTCCACCTTCAGTCTTTCAATAAGTCTGATTTGAATGATTGAATGTCATTTTTATTTTGATGATATGGTTTCTTCTTTGAGCTTTGGGATTGGCAGATTGCTTGTAATACAATATAAGTTGAAAAAATTGAAATTTATGACTAATGCCATACTTTTAGGGATTTTATTAGTTTCCCGTATGCATACCATACCATATTGAGGGAGTATAATGGAAGACACTGGAGAATGTTTAGGTTGCATTCCTTATTCCTTCTGATCTCAGTTAACGGGTTAAAATCATGGAAACACCTCCCTGCAATAGAAAGGTTAATGTTGAGTTTTTTATAATTTAGGAGGCACAAACAGATCAACGGAGCTGAGTGAATAAAACTTCTTTTTCAGAATTTACTAAGGAAAATGAAATTGCAGATGTCACTGAATTGAAAGAAAATCTACCAGGTTTTTCTTCTTGATGATCCAGGACTGTGCTTGAGTTTGAATATGACACCAGCTTGGTTGCATGTGAAACTCTTGTGAAAAAAAAAATAGAAAATGAAATATTTCTATAAAGAATTAAACTGAAATAATGATCACTACTGAAAAGTTTTTATTGTAATTTTAGCAAACATCTGCGAAGGGACCATTTTTATTCTACTAGAGTATGATGATGCAGTTTCAATTGCAGAGTTTGAGGTAACAAGTTCCCAAGTGCTGATTTTGATTTAATTTTAGAGACCTTGTTGCAAAATTTTGAAGATATATTGGTTAATTTATCGATTTTGGAGTACTTACATGACAAATTTCAGTTACTGTTTTAATTTATCTTATAATCGTTTTGCAACTGTAGGTTGTTTCACCTTGTAATGCATTCCTGTAATTTCTGTTTCAGTCAAATTTCGCTACCATGGATCAGAATACTGGAATTGTAACAAATAGAAGGGCTGATCGACATTTTGAAGAAGATGGTCCAATTTTCTGTGCAGCATTGGATGGAATGAAGCTTCCATTGTATCCAGAATATGAAATCAGAGTCAGGTATTCTGTTTAACCATCTGCAAGATAGCGAGAGTGCAGCAAGAATGCCCGATGATTATTTTCCATTTTTTGTGGTAGTTGAGTCACCCCTTGGCAAACTTATAAGTAACTGTTGGTGTCGCCTCGAATTTGGCTCGACCTTTCGTTACAAAAAAAATCGGTCAATAGCCACCAAACAATAGAGACAAAAAGAAAATGGTGCTAAAAATGATTAATCATTTAATTTCTACGAAATGTATGTTGAAGTTGCCTTGAATTTGGCTTGACCCCTATTTGTTCATATCCTTGATCGTAGTATCCTTCACAGATATGTTGGGGGTTCAAGGGGGCAGCGCCCCTTGGCGTGGTTCGACTTGCCCGATCAGGTTCCGCGGTCAAGGGGCAGCGAAGGGCGCTGCCCCCGGAACAAATTTTGGTTGTAAGGATATTTTTGGAATTCAAATTAATAAATAAAATGATGAATTCTCTTTACTATTTCTCTTTGTATTTGGTTCATTGTTCCCTAACAATGATACCTCTACACAATGTGTTTAATTATGCTTGGGGGCAATTGCTTAAAGACTATAATATTTTAAAACTTTTAGGGAGAGCAATTGTTTAAAACTCTTATAATAAAGACTAAAAAATAGATGGAGATGGATAAATTACCTAAAAAATTATTTAATAAAAAATTTTAATTTTTTAATGGGGGTAATTGCCCCCCGAGCTTAAAGGGGATCCACCCATCGCTATGTTGTGTAGCAACGTTATGTGTTTGAAATTTTATAAGCTTATGCTGGTAATATCATTGGTGGTTATTGCGTGTTCAATTCTTGCTTATGGTGTCATGGTTGTTCGCTTATTTATGTCCAAGTGCAGTCGTTGTCAATGCTAATACATTTTCTTCTCATAGGTATGCTACAGAACATAGATGCGGCGTTGTGGTAAAAGGGCCAAAACTTAGCGGAAATATATCTGGAACAGACCCACTGAAAGACAACCGCTTGCTTCTTAAAGCCGAGGCTCTTGATGATACAGAAGAAGCAAAAAACACGGCTGCTATTATCAACGAACTTTCTAGGGAGGTATCACGAATTCTAGTATCGCACCCTTTAAATGCACGGCGGGCAGGAGAAGGGAAGAATATAGCAAATGTTGTGCTCTTGAGAGGTTGTGGAATTCGAATTGAGGTAACTTTATTAGATCCCTTTGTTTAAGTACAAGTTCTATTTGAAGGTAACAATACTGAAGAAGTTTTTTTGTTAGTTTCAATTTTTATTTATAAGACTCTTATTTCAATTTGTTTAGCACAGATTTAGTGTAAAAATGATCACAAAATTTTAATCCATGAGATATGGTAGCCAGAAAGATTAAATAAAATTTTATTGATATGACTAGTAATGTTTTAGTTATAAGTGTGCTTTTTTAGCTCTATAATTTGATTACTAATCTGGCTGAGATTTGTGATAAGAAACGTTCATTTGCAATTTGAGAATAATGCCCCGATGTGCATCTCATCAATGTCCATGTATCCGCAACTGTTCAAGCGTTTGAACTCCATTGTATACTCTTGCACAATTTGTCTTATGCCATTTTTTCCATTGACCCTTAATATAATTTATTGCTTCAATGCTTCTTAGCTTTATGGCTTAAGATTGTTCTGTTTCCATTAACTAAATATATTTATGATTCCCTGAAAATCTGAATAAGACATTGTTTCATAAACCGGTATTTGGTAGCCTTAATGCATATAATTTCAAACTTGGAAATGCCTTCTAACAATATCTGAGTATGATTGTCCAAAATTTGCAAGCTTGTCCTGCTTTTAATTTAATGAACACTCTGGTGCCGTTTAGGTTGATGCATTTGAGAAAAAACATGGCCTGAGGCCGTGCATGGTAGCTCCCACCAAAATTATAGCAGGGCTGGGTCTGTCACTAGGTATTGACATTCTGGAAGCTCCAGGAGCAACTGGAGATTACCGAACACTACTAACATCCAAAGCTACAGCAATAGCCAAAGCCCTTTCTGCCCCATTACAGCCATGTCCATCAATTTTTGTACCTGGAGAAGATGAGCATAGGCCAGGACCATCAGGTGGCTACGATTTTGGCTTCCTTCATATCAAGGTATTGAGCATTTTCTTGCAACGTTTCTCATCTGTTGTTTAGACAGTTAAGCTTTTTCTTCATTCGTACAGGCGATCGATGATGCGGGGCACGATAAAGCCAGCATGTTAAAAGTTCGAGCTTTAGAATCGGTAGACACAGCAATTGCTCAGTTGGCAAGGCTTCTCTGGCAAGTTGAGAAGTCTGCAAACTTTGAATACTACTTGTGTATTACTGGAGATCACTCTACTCCAGTGGAGTATGGTGATCACAGCTTCGAGCCCGTACCTTTTTCGCTCTGTAAGCTGAGAGATTTTATCGGCACAAGAGGGGAATCTATTGTGATGTCCACCCCTCTGGACTCCTTCCCTCTTCCATCTGTAAAGCCTGGTGAAGATCTTAGAAATGACTTTCCACTGCCTGAGAAGAGTGGTGAAAGATCTGTAGCATTTGCTGGTGATTCTGTGAGCAAGTTCAGTGAGATTGCAGCAGCAAGAGGATGCCTTGGACGGTTTCCAGGCAGTGAGATGATGGGTATCATAAAAAAGTTTATCAAGCTGAAGAATGAATAGAACAATAAATGCCATGGAAGTTTATCAAGCTGCAAGTTTGTTATTCTTGGTTTGTTTTATGTCATCTGAATTTATCCTTTCCCCCCACTTTTAGAAGGTTAATGCGAAGCCTGATGTCTTAAACTCTCCTTATTTTGTCTTTGGAATTTGTTTTCAGCTAAATCTGTTTTCCTGGTTGATTGATGTTAGCTCTCCCGAGACTGGTCTCTGCTGTCACCGAAACTCTTACAAAACAAAGCAGAGATAAGGACGATTGAGAGCTGCCAGGATAGATGATCTTCATCATGGATTTTGGCTAGACGAATAAAGAAAAGTCGCCTGAGAAAGAAAGGCCATTTTTGAGGAGGTAAGAGGTTTTTTTTTTCGGTGGTCCGAGTGCCTTAGCATGGTTGGTTGATGGAAAAAGAGAATAAAGTAGGTGCTCAAAGCGAATAATGAGAGATGGAGTACTTTTTTGTGTAATACTTGAACCACAATAACTATTTACTATTCAATCCTCCCTCAATTGCATGCCTCTTTCAACTCATCGCTCCAGCAATAAATTCATCATCTGCAACTAGACATGCTAATAAACACTGATGCAGAGGGTTCCAACAGCTTTTGCAGCAGTATCAGCGAGTGTTTGATCAATCCAAACATCTTCCACCCAGGGTCATCAAATCCATTTAAAACTACGAACGCCGCTTGTGAATGTGCGCCCTTTCTGCCACCCCCACTTTCAAAATTAATGTTTTATTTGTGATGACTTTCTTACTGCTTCTTAAAGAAACTTTTTAGTACATAAATTAAAATTTTTGTGCTACAAAACTGCTTTAAAAAACCTTAAAAAAGCCGTCCCAAACAAAGCTCAAGTCAGCTGCTAAAATATTTACCCAATCTTACAGTATAGGGGTAACCGAGTTCTCAAAGCTGGGCAATCGAGAGAAGATTGAACTGCTTGAATATTGGCCAATTATGCACGACAATAGGTATCAAACGAATATTTCGAATTCTCGGGCTTGAATGACATCGTTTTAGGTTTGTACAAAACTTTGAACACGTTACTCCTTTAACTTCGCTTGTACATAAAAATGTAGACCATCAGGATGATCGAGCATGTGTCGCCTTTCAAGTAAGAAGCTGAATACCAAAATGCAGCAAGCATAAACTTACCTGAGATAAATGCTTATTATAATCATGGTCCTATCAAAGTGGAGACTGTTTATCGAGCTCCAAATTCTTGACATAGAAGATCAATCAAACAAGTTTTCATAAAGTACTTTATTACGACTTCTTCGCATTGTAATGACGATGAACCCAACATTACATTTGGGACAGTTTTTTTACTTCTTTATGAAGCAATTTTCTAATTTAAAAAAAAAAAATTTGTTTTAAAAAACTGCTTCATATAAAACAGTAAGAAAATTGTCTCAAACAAAATCTTAATGTGCCTATACGCTCTATCTCAGCACATATTGAAACTCTTTCTGATTCTCAAGTTTGTATGATACTTAACACCCTATATAGTTGATCAGCTCACTTAAGGTTATAATACTTTGCAACACAGCAGTAATGATCATCATGAATGATAAATTATTGGATTAATAACTACACTTTAACAGGAGTTCAAAGCATTTGTTTAAGCTTATCACAGAATGGTGCTGTGACTTACAAGAAGTAATCATAAGAGCTTTGATAATTCAAGGTTATTTTGAACAACATTTCTTCCCTACAACTAGATGCTAAAACTTATCAGAAAGAATCTAAAACATTTTTGGCAAGAGTCGATCTACAGGGGAATAATTTTACTCGAATGAAGCGGCGGAGGCTTCACTTGGTTCGTGTCATGACCTCGCGAGTAAGATCGACAAGAGCCCGTCTTGATTTTATGACATCCTCATCATCACTATGAGGAAGGGCCTCAATAGCTTTTACAGCCTCATCAGCATGTTCTGCGGCTAGCTCTCGAGTCCTCTCAAGTCCTTTACTCTTGAAAAGGTAGTCAAGTGCCTTCCAGTGCATAAGAAGTCATCAAAATTAGCTATTAGCTATGAGATCAATAAAATTTTACTGTTTAGATGATAACAGGGGGTAAAAAAAAGAGTACATCAATATTGGTAGGAGAAGATGAACAATTTGTAAGGAAAAAAAAATATGTTTCACGGTATATGTGGCGGTCAGAATTTCAAATTTTTAGATATAAAACATATAAGAAGACTAGTATTACAGAATACTTAAGGGGCTGTTTGGTAGCACCCAAGATTTGATTTAAGTAGGATTTTGTAAATCTTCTAAATCCGGATTTCGGAATCCTGAAAATTGTTTGGTAACATTCATGATATATCTTATTAAATCCCGTGTGACTGTTTGGCTATAGAGTGGATTTAACGAGCGGACTCTCCCTCTCGAGCCAAAGGGTTTCATAAATCCGGCAAAAAACAGGATTTCGAAAATCCAGGATTTGCTGTGAGATTTGGTTTTGCATTTTAGGCCATTTGGCTGGATTTCGTTCAATCCGTTTTAAATCCGACCTAAATCCTGCTACCAAATAGCCCGTTAATGTAGAAAAAGAGCCCTTGTTCTCAAAAAAACTTCCAATTTAATGACCAGCCTCAAAAGCACGAGCAAGCTTTATTTATTGGAGCTGACATATCCCATATGGCGTCACTGCTTTTATCATCAAAGCTGGGTGATTAGTAATATGACAAGTAAATGATGCAAATATAAGTTAGGGCAAATAACAACTAGGTTTTCATATGATGGACAATGTGAATCATTGAAGGGGAGAGGAATGCAGCAAAAAGGAAGGGGTCCTAGCAAGAAGGCTGAAAATCACTAATTGCCTCAACAGTCATTGGGAAACCATGAAGGAAAATGGAAAACACAGAAACTCGACAAAGAAGTTGACTGGAAATCTTGAATCAGTAAATTTTAAAGCACTCTTGCGGTTCATTTGGTTTCTTGTTGTTTGAAAAAACATCAATGAAAACGATGATTACATTTTTCATTTTTTTAATGAAAAATAAAACCATTACTTTTGATGAACATAGAATGTGTGATTTTAAAATTTAAAACCGATACTGTTTTCTAACTTACAGCCAACCAGAGGCAGAATTAACAGCCATCCATTTCAAACTTATGTTCATCAAAAGTAATGATTTTATTTAGTTAATTAACCATTTAAAAAAATAACTACATCTAACTTCAAGCAACCAAAGGACACTCAAGAGAGCTAAAAATATCGTTTGCTGCATACATGAATTGTGGAACAGATAGCCAGTAAGTTCTGAACCTTGCAAAAGTTAAAATGATTCGGAATTGTGGAAAATTATGCAGAACATATTATTTCCAACAATCTAAAGGTAATGTCCATTTAACTCTTGACATTTCAAGGAAAAAAAGATTCGGAATAAACTTACAAGGTCAACATCTGAGCGATTGCCAAACCCTCGATCAACAACTTCTCTCAGCTGAGGATACTCCTCCATTGCAAATAAAATAGGAGCTGTTACAATATTCTGCAATGAAAGATATTTGTCAATTGATAGATTATCTTATAGCATAGCATGCTACTTCTTTCTCATCCCACATTATATTTCTAACTCTTAAACAATTGCAATGCCGGTAGTTAAATAACTAACGGCTTAAACTATTCAGCTAGGATGTATAATTAAGTTTAACAGAAGTAATTAATACAATTATGTTAACCGTAAAGAGGAGAATGGAAGAATGGAAAAGAATAGGAAGCTCTTTTAAAGAATATATGTAAGAACTGAGCGCATCATAGGAGTACTTGTTTAATGTCAGACAATGAGCCCTTTCCAAGTGAACTTGATGTACCCGTGAAATCAAGGACATCATCAATCAACTGATATGCCATGCCCTGCTTTGATGAAATATTATTAGTAAGCATTTTTAATAACGAGCTATCATAGAGATAGACAAATAAGGCTTCATTTGGGACGGCTTTCTTACTGCTTCTTAAAGCAGTTTTTTAATATAAAAAATTAATTTTTTACTAGAAAGTTGCTTTAAGAACAATGAGAAAGCTGTCCCAAATGAAGCCTAAGTGTAGTGAACCAACACACTAACCAAATTTCTACCATAATTATAAGCAAGCAGTGCCACTTCTGCAGTTTGGCCTGCAAGCAGAGCGATGGCCTTGCAACTATTTGCAATCAACGAAGCTGTCTTATAGAATGTCTTCTGCAAGTAATACTCCATGCTGTACATTGATGTAATGGTGCTTCAGCTAAGCAACATGAAGGTAGAATAATCAAGCAGCAACAGATGAATTTAATTGGACAAAACAACACCATTTCTTTCGTTTGGGTTGGCTGTTATAAACTGGGAGGAATAACCACAATAGTAGAGATAATCAATAACTATATACAAAAGCTCACCTACGCCGTTGCTCAAACGACGTTGTCATTTGCATTGTTTCACCGTTCACAAGGTGTTCCACAACAGTTGCCAATAAAGATACAACCTGTATGAATATATTTACATGATGGACAAAGGATAAATCCTTCAGTCTTTTCTGGTGAATAAGGGGAAGAGAACAAAATCCAATCCAATAGGAAGAAAAATTAAAAGATAATACTATATGGAAAATATGTTAACATTGTGTATTTGGCCGTGGTGTTTAGGCGGGTTTTCAACTTGAGGCTAAAGTTTGCATGAAGTGCGATGGAATGCAGAAACGCTGAAGCTCAGGATATAGAAGCCAGTCATAGCTATTGTTACCTCTGTATTCTTTAGTTTTGCAAGTGCAACACAAGCTCTTGAAAGCAAAAAGTCTCCAGCTAGCACAGACAACTGCAGACAAAAGTTGATGATAATTTCAGCTTAAATTCATTTGAATGTACAGCTATGGAGAAATTGAAGTTAAATAATGTTCTAAAAATATCGTGCTTTATTATTTCCATATGGTAAGACTTTCCAATCAATAGATAGAACTGTTGAGAGAAAAGCTATGAAAAAAAATAAGCCACAAATAGCAGAGCCATTATCGAGGTAAAATCCAACACGAGCATTAAAAGCACCATAATTATTTTTGTTTTACATATCCTAGATAAAATGTTAAGTGGTTAATTAAAAAAAAAAGATTCTCATCCTGACAAATCTATTCCATCAAAAGTGAAGCACTTCCATCTAGATGAAGCAACAAGAACACTGCACAAATTTCAGGCTTCACGAGGTGTTCCAGCTAATGAGATCAAAGCTCATATACTCTTCAAGCACATCAAAATATTTTATCAAGTACAATGAAACCAGTCCAGAGCTACCTGTTTTTCTTCGAATATCCAACTAAAATTGATAAGCTCTGTATTGTAATGCATAAACAGATTTGAAGAACCAAAAGTTTTCAACTTCTTCTGTTTTAGCTTGTGCGTAAAACACCAACAATATATATTATGGATGCTCTAATATTAAACAACATCCAAATTTTTATCTCAACAACGATATAAATTATGCTAGTGAGATCATCTGTACAATTTTAAATAGCAGACACGATTCTTATTTGGAATGTGAAAGATATGTGAAAAATATTTGAAACGTGAAACCTGCAGGTTTGTCAAAGCTTGTGAGATATCTTCTTCTACCCTTCTTATATTTCATCTCGAATATCTATCCATTCTTCTCTCCATGGTTCCAATTCCACCTATATCTTTCTTCTCTAAAATTATTATAAGTTTTAAGTTGTGTCTTGTTCTGTTTTATTATAAATTATAAGTTGTGGTGTGTCTTATTCTATTATAAGTTGTAAGTGGTGTTAGTATTATTTTATTGTTGTGTTTGTTTGTGTTATTTAAGGTTTATGTGAATGAGAAATGAATTGTGCTTTAATTTGCATTCCTAGAACAAAATTTGTTTTTAGGTTGCATCAATTTGGTATTAAAGCTTTAAGTTGTCGTGTGTCTTCCTTTCTCTACAAAAAAAGGGACAACCATCAACAAGCCGAAGTTCCAATTACACTTAAAAGCGATATCTACAGATCCAATTCATAATGAAATACTTAGAGGGCAAATATGACAATATTTATGCACTGAAAAGTATAAAAATAAGAATATGATATACTTTGGTTAGAGTTTGAACAAGAAAAAGACAAGATAAGAAGGAAATACGATTACTGAAGGATGCTGAGAGGGAGTATTTTCATGCAAAAAAGATAAATATTTTGGAGAGATTTTGAAAGATTGTTTTGCACATAATTGCTGATCTTATTACAAATGAAGATGAACCAACTAATGATTTTGTTGATGTTGTGAACATTTGTACTGTCCAGACAAGACAAGGCATGCACCAACGATTCTTGGTTAAATGGAGGGGTCATCCTTTGTCTGATTGTTCTTGGCAGCTAAGGAGTTGCAAATTCTTCGGCTTGATATCTACCAGCGTGCTAGTGAAGCTTTCTCATTAGGAGATGAGATTATTCCAACAGGGGAGAATTGATGCAGTTAAGAGTTGCCAATTTTATATTTGTTTTAATTTTCTACTTGTGTTTCTAGCTTTCTTTCTCTAGTGATTTTTTAGTTTTTCTGTTGACCCTTCTTTTTCCTTGTTGGCCTCTCGATTTCCGAGCTATCTCTTGATTTCCCTACTTAAAATTCGATTTCTTTGTTATTGGCTCTCGGTTTTCACGATGGTTGTTGGGTTTCTTGCTGCTGACTGCTTGATTTTCCCTATGGCTATTTGGTTTCCTGACTGCTGGCTATTCGTTTTTTCCCCTTACTGATTTCCTATGCTAAGTGCTTTAACTTCTTATTATGAGGGCTGTCTTGAAGGGGTTCTATTGGCTATTTTGGGGACATATTTATGTTTGTCTATTTAATACAGTTTCCCCTTCTTTCTCCTATAAATAGTGAATGATTTCCTTTGTAAATGAGAGAAGTATGTGAAGAATAATAGGAATGTGAAACTTACGGGTTTGTCATAGCTTGCGAGCTATCCTCTTCTATCTTCCTTATATTTTGTCTCGGACTTCTATCTATTCTTCTCTCCACAATTCCCACTCTACCTGTATTTTTCTTCTCTAAAACTATTGTAAGTTTTAAGTTGTATTGTATCTTGTTTTATTATAAATTGTAAGTAATGTTGTCTTGTTCTATTATAAGTTATAAACAGTGTTAGTGTTTGTTTGTGTTATTTAAGGTTTATGTGAATGAGAAAGAAAGTGGGTTTTAATTTGCATTCCTAGAGCAAAGTTTATTTTTAGGTTGCATCAGGACGGTAGATGGATTTTTTACCTTAAGTGTTTAGGTGATTTATTTTATTTTAAATATCTTAGATTTTAGTGATTTTAAAATTTTAAACAACTATTAAAATTAGAGCCCCTTAATGATAAGTTTTGAGATTTAGGGGCATTTAAAGAATAGAGATCCCTTCGGTTGAAATTTTCAGTCAGCAAAGTCATCATCAAGGTTTATGGGTAATTTCATTTCATTAGTCAAACCTTGTCGACTATGCTTGTTTGCCAATAAAAGATTGGGGTTTAGCTCCTAATTTTTTGTGTTATTGTAAGAATATCAAAATCAAGAGTATATATTTTAATATACAAATTGCTTCATAAAAAATCTAGAATGTCTTACATGAACGTATAAAATTAAATATTTGGTTAATTCAACAAGAGCTAGTTCCAAAAGTTTATATTTTGGTGTGATGAATTTTCCTTGTAAGAGGCTTTGAAGGCCTAATATGAATGTACAAAACCAAATACTCCGATCGACACTATGGTTGTGTATATGTTCGTTAGTTCAAGTGGTGCCAACTCCAATTCATTCAAAGAAGAGGATTGGATTTGAACTTAACGTTCATTTCTGACCCCCCGCAACATCCTTAGGCGCCATGTATGTATATATATATATATATATTATATATATATATATATATATATCATGCTCGTCATGGCCCATGTGTGTAATTTAAAAATTCAATTTAAATGATATGCGTGTGTATGTTAGCGTACTTATACAATGTATTTTGTATGTTTGAAATTTCATTCATTATTTCTTTAATCCACACAGTATCCTCAAACTTCACGTATATGACACGCTTGTCGGGGCCCATGTGGTAACATACTTTTGAGTGCATTTTGCATAATGTATTTATATATCAGATAGTGTATATGCATGTCGCATTGTTGGACAATATATGTATGATGTATTTGCATGTAGCATAATACATATACACAACACATTTGACATGTTGTATAGTACATATGCATTGTGTATTTAAATGTTGAGTAATGCACTCACACAACATATTTTTGTCTTATAGTATGCCCGTGCAATGTATATGCATGAACTTCAATGCATTTTCACAACATTTTTGCGTGTTTCATGATGCCCTCACGCAATGCACTTGTATATTCATTCTGCACTTGCGCAACATACTTGAATGTATTTTAGTGTACTTTATTTGAGGCACTTGCATTTTACTTAGCACACGTGCATAATACATTTGTATGCTTGTTTAGTATGCATGCATGCTATTTTTGCATGATTGCTTGTGCATTTACAAGATGTATTTGTATAATCAATGATATTCATATATATTATGCAGTGCGACCATATGATTGGCAGTATACATACATGCCACTTGAACTATATGTATAATGTGTTTGTATGCCTTTGGTACACTCACATTATATAATAGGAGTCGTAGGCTATACCCCCTTTCGGTGATTTGGCACGTCGTGCACACTTTAATGAGGGGTCGTACAACCCGTGACACATAAGTGTGCTATTTTATTTCTTTTCAAAGATATGTTCACGGAGTGTACGACATTCATGAGATGCATACAAGTCTCCTAACTTTAACAGTTAGCGTGCATGCTACCTAGAGCATTTTTGCACCCGTGTCTTCTCCCCTTGTTATTATGGAATTAGAGTTTGACTCTACAGGTCCTGCAAGGTAATTAGTTTTGCTGAGTTATAAATAGGGAACCCAACCTTAATTCAATTTTTTGCACATTTCAATTTACAAATCATGTTTTGCAAGGGGTTTGAGTGTTCACTACCAAGGAGCTAAGAGAGGAAAGCTTGGTTCCTACTTGTTAGTAAGCAACTAATTCTACAAGTTCACTATAAGTTCTATACTGTTATGTTTTGATTCTTGTTCATTTTTACTTTCAATGTTTAGAACCTAGAATGTCGTACATTTTTTAAATTTGGAAGTAGAGTTTGATTTTGATTTTTCTTAAATTTGTTGAAGTCATATATTTTGTTGTAAATTTCGGCAACACCCCAGTGTCGTCCCTGTGTAGAGGGTTGCATCAGGTGTGCTAAGCTTTCTCACATGCTAATAAAAACAATCACGGTAGGTGTCATGTGACATCGCAACCAAAATTTCATTCCCCACATGCTAATAAAAGCAGTCATGAGTCTTTAAGTACATGTTTATATAACATAACATTTCACTGCTTTAGATAAGAGGCGACCGAGGCGGTGACGATGACAACAATGCACGAGACCTTGGTGGTGGTGGTGGTGGGTGAGTGTATGAGGGAAGTGAGGGGTTTAAGTGAGGATATTTTAGAGATTTTTTAAAATTTAGATTTTCTTATTTTAAAATTCCTTTCTTTATTATTATTAAAAATTATATGGTATAAATTTTTTCGAATCGGTCGCCAAATCGTCTTCGCAATTCATGCACATTGGTGTCGCCTCGGTATGCACGCGTAAAATTTAAATTTTCACCAATCGATGAGCACAATCAATATGGGAGTCAATCTTATCTGTTTTTGTTGCCCCTGACACATCAGTGCTGTTTATTTCGCAAACAAAGGCCAATTCAATAATTTTAGTTTTTAGTCGACGCACATCGGGTAAATTTCATGTGACTTTGAGCTCTTTTGTTTTCGTAATTCATCGTGCCCGATCGACTCGACCACGACACTGGTATTGAGGTCAACAATGACACAAGATGCAAATAGCGCAAGCAATTTTGTTAACATGTTATAAATATCAAATTATAAATTATAATCATTTTTATGGTTTATATGTTAATTTCACAATTAATTACTAATTAATTAAACATCAAATTAATAAAATATCAAAAAATTTTGAATGAGTCGCTCAAGGAAGCTTCTTTGCCTCCTTCGACAACAATATTCATGTTGAATTGGAAGTCACAAGAGGCTTACAACGAAGGTAATGATTATCCATCCATTTCACACGCCTTTTTAGCTAAATTACGTTAAAGTAAAATGGAGAAGGAACATGATTTAACTTTCTGTAGGATTTAAAGGTGTCATGTTTGCAGTTTGGCATGATTTAGGCTATTAAGCTTAAATCCTGCTCAATTATATCGATGTAAGCTTCTGTAGGATTAAAAATTATCATTTTTATTGTTTGGCAGAATATGTATACTTAAATCTTGCTTAAATAAACCTATGTTTGTTATTTAATGGTATTTTATATTAATGAATTTTTCTGAAAACATATTTTATATTGTGTGCCATGTTTAAAATGGTGTGAGCCGCGCCATGCGCAATTCGTCATGGCTCCACGGGGAACTTTGTGTTATGTTGCGCCATTCACCGTCGACAAGTACGGGTGCGGTTAAGCACATATTGAGTATCTGCAAATCATGTGTAAGGTGTCATGAATGTGGTGCAGGCTGAGTGTAGATCATGAGAAGAACAGGGTCTATGCAGTGGGGTATGAGGGTAAGGAAGGGAAACTTGGGCAAGTACAACGTTGCAAGCGTAGGTTAAGGGCATGTAAGCGAACACAAGGTTGCACACGATTAGGGATAGCGATATGAGCATAAAGGAGAGTGTTCAAACATGAGTTTTAATTCAATGTTTTGAAGAATTCTTACATATATATTATTGACAAAATACAATGGCCTACATATAGGCAAATAAAGAGAGTATAAAATAACGAAAATAAATAGGAGAATGTCCTCATCTATGAAGATATATTAGTCATAAATCAACTCCCTATTTTAGTAACTTTTAATTTAGCACTTCCCTATATTAACAATATGTGTGAGTGACCACTCACAATTTGTTTCTTTTACAACAGTGTTTTCTTAAATATATAAAATGAAAATAAAAATCAAGAAAATACCTTATTCCCCATCACCATATTTAACGAACCAATACCACGTCTTGTTTCTGCATCATCCAAGACATCATCATGAAGAAGGCTTGCTACCTATTATGCATATTAAAATCCATCATTAAAAGGAAAAACATGACATTACAGTGTTTCAAAATTTCAATGGAAAAAAAAAAAAGTTACAGTGCATTGAAATTCAAATGAGGGAAAGATTTGAGAGAGTTGGTCAAAAGATTAGGTTGAAGCTACAGTTTCTCTATTATTAACATAAAACTCTATTATACACAGAAGTTAAGATGTTTATTCAAGTGGCCAACGTGAATCATCTCAGTTATCTCTGCAATACGCTGTTGCCTCAAATCCAGCTCCTTCTTTAAGCTACTAAACACTCCATCAACTGTTGGTTGTGGTATTGGCATATACAAAGCCTTAGCCATCAGCAACAAGACCTGCAAATACCGAGGCTCAGTGACTACACAAACATTTAAAATGGGAAACAATAGCCATATACTCATTAGGTTTTTGAATATGAAGTAATACATTTTTTTGTAAAAGTAAGAGTCATGATTCACAAAGAAAAACGCAATTTGTCAAATATCAGATAATAATCAAAACTAGGAGAGAAATATGCACTACTAGAAAAAAGAGACAAAAGTATATGGAAAAAGTTGCATGTTTTGTTAACAGCAAATCAGTAAATCAGCACCTATGCTATTGAACATGCCACATAAAGGATAGTGAGTGATGTTTTCTTACTGTAGGTCTGAATCTTTTCCCCTCGACTCCAATTTTGAAAAAGTATTCAGCAGCTTGAGCCAGCTTTGGTACCTGAATTTAAGTACATCACAAAAACAGATAAAAAAAAGTGCACATATGTCTCCAAAGGACATAGACAAGATATAATGGATTCAACATGAAGATACTAAGACCAGTACCTCAGCAACTACCATAGACCTTAATCTGTTTGCAATAACTGACAATTCATCTGAAACAAGCGAAAATGGGTCCAGTGGTTCCTGACAGGTACAAAAGTTTTCAACAGCATAAGAAAAAATAAAAATAAAATTAACATATACTACAGTAGACTGCCTTAGATGTTTACAAATGAAGTTAGTTTTATAAAAAAAAGAGCTGTATGTGCAATAGAATTTGTAAAGTTAAACCGATGGAGTTTAATTATAGAACCATATACTTCATTTATATGCACGAGTTCAGATGTTATATTCGACTTGCATATGGCTTTTCATCATTGCAGAAGTAGTCTGAAACCCCAAAAAAAAAAAGTACTATGAAACTAAATGAATCTAACTGAATATAAATCATCTGGAAATATTTAATCTAGAAGGTTTTGAAAACATAAAAACGAACCAACAAATAAGCATAACATGATAGGGATGAAAGGCATGTAGTAAAATTTTTCCGACCCCTGATATAAGGAGCATTGTGGAGCCCGCATATGAATTATGCCTTCAACAAAAATAGGTTTTAAGAAAAAAATTGTGAGTTACTTGAGCTTTGTATCTTTTAACACCATATATGAAGTTCAAATGTAATCTGCACCTACAGGTCCGGAAGTGTAGACCCATTCATCTTTATGTTCTTCATGCATTCTTACACCAAGATAAATAAAAAATCTTTCAAAATATAACACTAACCATGTCCAAGCAACAATGTGTCATTACACATTACCAAGGAGAGTTTGAGGGGAGAAAGAATTAATCCAAATTATACGCCTATGAGACAATTTTGACCATTTGAGGTATATGTCCAATTATCAAGAATATACAATAAGATTTAAGAAAGTAAAATGAATCAATCATGAAGAAACAAAATAGAGTACCTCATCTGCTGAAGTCTTTTCTTGATGAACTTGATATCTGATGTCATGCAAGCCATGTGAACCCGAAAAATAAGTTTCTCTGAAACCTAACACTGACTAATCCACAGAAAAAGAACTGAATATTCACAATGAAAAACATGCATCAACTAAATATTGCAAACCGTGCATCCACATAACAAGTTTACTGTAACTTGTATCGTAATGAACAAGCATAAAAAACTTGATAAAATAACTTAATATTTCAACTCAACAAAGTTCATTCTCAAAAAAAGAACCTAGTTCAAAAACAAATAAACTTCCCATGGTCCTTTCTGGAAAAAAGTTTTAGAAGCAGTTATTTTGACATTGTAGGTTTGGTGGGAAGAAATTGATCTGTTGCGGCAATTATATTCAATCACACGGTCAAGATGTTATTCCAGCTTGCCTTTAGAGTTTAGACTACACTATAACTTAGTGAAGGATAAATGATGCATTGCTAGTCGGCTACTCCGTGACTAGTCATTGATTCATTGTATTTTTTTATTTTATTTAATGTATCATGTCACCTTTCTTTTTTGTTTAAAGGTTAATTATTAGTGGTACAAGTGGCATTTGTCATCTTGAACTAATTTGATAGTTTTTAAATCGTTCAGCAATAGTTTAATCATTTTGAATAAGATCTAGTAATATAAATATTATGTAGGGTATGTAATTTAGATGGTTGATTAATGAAGCGAGAAATGATATTTGCTTTGACATTCTTTCTCCTGATTGATCCTCCTCTTCCCTAGCCAAAGCGCTTCTTCATACTTTTTTTCTCTGTCACTTATGTTACTTCCTTTGAGGGATTCAGTCTGCTAATCTTATAATTCCTTTCTTTTCACTTCCCTGGTTCTTCTAGACTGAATTCATCTCTTCTAAAAAAATTAGATTACCAAAAGTTCATCATAATCTTCACTTTCATTGCCCTATCACAACCAAGTTCCTACACCCAAGGAGTTCTCCATGAAGCAATTAAAGTGTGTTTTGAATTTTAAGGTTTCAAGAGATCGTCCCCCCCCCCGCGCTAACAATTCCTCTTTCCTCCACCCAAATCTCCAACAACCTACTAAATTTCCTCCAACAAAGCACTTTCAAAAGCAAAATCCTAGCCAGAACACCTTTCCTCCCCTAAAATTCTCAACAACCCCACTCAACTTTTAAGTTTAAATTCAAAATTTTATATTCAAAATAAAATACAATTTTGAAACCAAACAACCAATTCCTAATATTCCTCTTCTAATCTAATAAAAATTCAGGCACTATCACCCCAATTCAAATTCCAATTCAGGCTGGATCAAGGAAGAGGCTGTATTCTTGGGGTGAGGCGGCTGGACAGTGGAGCTGAGGGCCTGCTTACAGCTGGGAATGGCTGCAGCAGCCTGGAAGGAGACCTGCAGGAAGAAGCCATGGCACCTTCTTGGAGGCTGCTTGTGGACTTCGGTTGGAGGGAAGGACAAATGACACCACCTGGAAACTCCAGGACATAGAGAATAAACAAGAAGAGCTATAGATCTCTTTCTAAACACCAACATGTGAATTTCAGGTTTAAGGAGCCTCTATTTATAAGCATTCAACTAGTAAATAAGGAATTAAAGCAAAATAAAGAAAGTGCTATTAAAGAAAAGAAAGGACAGCCAAATTAAATAAAAAGAGAATTAAAAACAAATAGGTGGGTCCCGGTTGGTTTAATCCAACGGGCTAGCCTGCATTAGGGGTGTCAAAATCTAACCCGACCCAAAACCCGACCAGGAAAATTCCGGATTTGGGTCAACCCGTTTTCTATACGATTAGGGTTTGAGTTCGAGATTTTGACTTGTTTCTAAAATCGGGTCAGGTTCGGGTTGACCCGGCAACCATAAATCAAACCAGGTTTGACCCACGTTGCATCCGCGTAGGGTGTCCAACTATCTGTGTTCCGCTTCACAGCTCGACTGCTCGACCCCGCCAACCCCGCAAGCCTGATTCTGAAGCATTGGAACCTTATCCCAGCACAATTTGAGCTTTTGACTATCGCCCTTCATTCACACACTGAAACCAATGCAATTGATGCCAGTTGCGTGCATCTCTATGCAATGCCTCATTCCCTAGCTCCATGTGTGTCCCCTTATGTTAGTCTCAAGGTCTCTAAAGTCGCAAGGCCAAGTCCTCATCCTGAGCACAGGAGAATTCATCGTAGTTGGTTATTCCTCTACCTACCATGTTCCAGCCTACTCTGCTACTAATCGTATAGGGCAGCACTGTTTATAAGACGACGTCTTCTGCCAGGATATTACCATTTCATTGGCGTTAGGTAGAGGTTCCTCCTCTACTACTGACATCTCCTCTTTGCATTGAAGCATGCATCCATCCTACTTGCAATGCATCCTTAAAATCCTCTTATGGCTGTTAGGAAAATTCAGTACACACTAGTGTATGTGTATGTAATATATGATGAGAAGAATATCATCTTGTCGTGCCCTTGCTTAACTTTTTTGCGGGTCGGGTCGAGTTGGCCCGAGCAAGAACCCGGTCGGATTCGGGTTGGGAATGTGACCCAAATCGGCTTGGGTTTGGGTCGGATCAAAACCTACCGGGTCAAAGTCGGGTGGACCCAAAACCGACCCGCGGACTCGATTTGACACCCCAACCTTGCATCACATATCCAATCTACCTATTTAATAAACCTTGGCCCAACCAAACCTAACTCAAATAGCTAAACCAACTATAAACCCAAATGAAGAGAAAAACCTCAGCTTTAGTCAACCAATACTTCAAACAAATTGAGCCAATCTAGCAGTTTTCATAAGAATCTTGAAATTTCTTGAGATAATCTTCTCAAGTTGTGATAGTGTTCACAGGGATATGTTATTGATAATGGTATTGATTTTCTCATTTATCACTTTTTCTATAGATACATTTCTCATTAGCATACCTGTTAACGACGAATGACGCACCATGACGCAAAGGTCCCTTTGGAGCCATGGCGCATAGCGCACGGCGCGGCGCTCGCCATTTTGAACATGATGCAAACTATATAAGAATTATAAAATAATAAGCAAGAATATGAAAATAGTGTTCACAGGGATATGTTATTGATAATGGTATTGATTTTCTCATTTATCACTTTTTCTATAAGATACATTTCTCATTAGCATACCTGTTAACGACGAATGACGCACCATGACGCAAAGGTCCCTTTGGAGCCATGGCGCATAGCGCACGGCGCGGCGCTCGCCATTTTGAACATGATGCAAACTATATTGGAAGATCCACCTTCCTACAAACAATATGAAATATCATTAAAAATGAAAGACAAAAAATCAAGAGACAATAATTCACATTTAAAGTCCTCACCCCTTCCTCCTCTCCTATAGAGTCCAATGTCTCCCAATCAAAGCATACACTCATGAAGAAAACTTATACAAAGCATGCACTCATGAAGAAACAGACTAACACTAACAACTATTACTAAAGATGATTAATACAACAATATGCCGGGCTGTCGGGGGTCCAAGGGGGCGCTGCCCCCTCGAGGGGTCAAGGGGCAGCGCCCTTGCGGGGATAGTGCCCCCGGAACAAATTTTATTTTTAAGAGTAATTTTGAAATTTTATTTATTTTTAAAGTTCGTAAGTAGTTTGTATGGAAAGATACCTAGCGGTACCGAGCATGTACATAGCGGTACCGAGCATGTACCTAGCGGTACCAAGCATTTTTTTATTTTATTTTAAGAGGTGGACGCCTCTAAACCATGGTTGCTAGTGAAAC